TTGTCTTAACAATTTCAACTTTTCAGCTTGAAAGGAGAAATAAAAAGAAATGATTAATATGTTTGTATATGCTTAAGATAGATTTGTACATGCACTTACAAACCTAGGAAAAGGGTGTTTGAATATATTTCTCAGTGCTGGTGATGATTTGTCTCCAAGTTATTTAGTACGTATGAAAAATGCATGTTTTACATGATATTGATTAATTTTGTTACTCATAAATGCATACTTATGTACGTGGCCAGCAGATTATAAATTATAAAAATACACAGAAGTACTTACGTATTTATGTATGTGTGTACGTACAAACGTACATATACTTAATCCAACAAGTCATGAAATGTCTAGTTTAAATACTTTTTTGCTGTTTTATAATTTCATTTCGATAGGATATTTAACACGCCTCCCCAACCAACCTTAAGCTAAATATGATGCACAAACGAGTAAATTAACCTAATTATTGAAGTATGAGGTTTCCTGCATTTTTTCTAGGTCATCAAAGCATTCAAAATTCCTACCTGCTCAAGTTGGATAAATTATAGATCCTTGCTGCTGCACATGCAAGATTATGCGTACTTCTGATAAATAAAGTAGAAATGTGAGATGATTAAATAAAATAAATTAATTACTTATGCATTATTTGAATTATGTGAAAAGATTATCATTGAGGCAATGCAAACGATTGATCGTAGACGGCCAATGCCAGAGATTTATTTCCATGGTCTGAGTAATTAGGTATTGTAAAATACATGATATTCCACTCTTCTCAATTTTTCGCAATACTAAAATACTATTCTTTAAATTTACCACGAGGCAATCATTCATTAAATAACCCGTAACTTTTAAGATGGACTAAACACACTTCTTGGGTCGGATGCGAAAAACATCTATACATACGTACACGTACGTTTATGGAGAAACTTTAGGATTTATTTTAGCTTTTAAGTCAAGCTCGCGTTTAAATCGAAAATTTAAAAATTGTGGACATCGTATGTATTAACATATTTATGTACCGTAGTATGATTAAAAAGTAACTAAGTAAAGTGTGTGTATTTAGATAACTGGATGAATTATGGGATAGGATAAATGAGTACCTATTTATGTATGTATTTTTTTTGAATATTTCATACAAAAGTACATTAGTTACTTTATGTATGTATATGTATGTACACATGAACATAAATAGATATGTACATGACTTAACCAGTTTGATACACATATTTCCCATGGGAAATATGTGTATTAAACTGGTTACCAAACTTTACATCGATGCTCACGTCTTAAACAAAGTATTTACCTAGGTATCTTCGCTAAAAACAATTTTCAACCTGGGAAACCAACAAGCAATTTACAATTAAATAATTAAATTTATGCATTTGTGCATTGTTAGCTCGTCCTGCGTTGCATTAGAGCTATTGAATTCCTCCTGTCCGTCTGTCTGTCTGTCTGTCTGTCTGTCTGTCTGTCTGTCCGTCTGTCTGTTAATGAGTTTTTTGCATCAATTGATGCTAATTAAATAGGACCATGTCCATTTTTTTAGGATATTAATGGCTCCATTCGTACCGAACAAGCGATGGTACAAAATGGTGCCAAGCAATTGGGGGAATTGATGCAATACGCACCAAAAGTGCAGAATAACCGGTAGTAATACGTTCCCACCGCAGAGGTAGAAACAGTCGAAATTATGTCAAATTTATTTGTCTCTTTTGTCCGCTTATTTTGCACCATTGGTGCCAAATTATATAAATACGTAAATACGATACATAAATGTATTTGCGGAGATGGTTGTGCACCATTGGTGCAAAATTGTGTCAATATTTTGTATCTAATTTGTCCGATTATTTTGCACCTTCTGTGCGAAGTTATGCTCAAATTATGTTTCAGGGCGAGCTATTTCTAACGTTACAACGGTTTATTATTCCATGACTTCTGCATATGTGCATACATAATTCCTCATATTTCCATATATATGTATGTATGTATGTATACGTAAATTGGTTATGCATTTATCAATTAAGGCACCACTATAAACTTACATACATTGTTGTACATATTTCCAGATGCACAATTTTATTTACATAATTAAGCTAGATTCTCTATTAGCCTCTAATTTTCGAGCATAATTAATTGGTAAATCCTCCTTCCAGAATTTGCTCAGCCAGGAATCACCTTGTTATCTGATGTTATCAGATGTAATAATTCATATTGGTTTCAATGCTACATACATTGTGCATTTCGCATCATCTTGAAACTAATAAACTGATCATTTATTGTTTAGCTAGTCTCAAAGATAGTTGAATTGCGAAGACTCTTCTTCTATGGAATAACATATTTCAAGACAAATCTCAAAATGTCTAATTGGGCCAATGTTCCGGCATTAAAGTTGGTTTCTGAAAGAAATCCTACTCGGATACGGTGATTTTGGACGGAGTGGACATCACGGTGGAAAAAGGGACGATGTAAGATTTTCATAGTTTTTCCAGTTTTTAATTAGTGAGTGCTAATGGGGTTATTTATGTCCAGGTGATATTTGACGGAGTTTAAATAAGCTTATATATGTCGATCTAATATTTGCTACATTTACATATATATGAAAATAAGTCACGCTCTACATTATTATTTGATTCTGAAATTTTTTCTTCGAATGGAGTAAATATGTACATATGTACGTGGGTGTTTTATTATTGATTTTCAAAAGGTATGTTCCGCACTGTTTCTGACCAAAATTTTGATGAAATAACAAACTTCAAAAACATTTTGGAAGTCGTGATTTTTTTCAGCTCAATCGGTTAAAAGAAACACCCGCAACAAATCATCCAAATTTGCCTCGAAAATATGCAAAAATTTACGACTTGATTCCATTATCATCCTAAAATCGTTTCCCCCTGATGTTTTTCTTCAACGTTTGAAACGGATAATAATCACTAAGGGTCCTGTCTGGACTGCACGGGGGGTGGTCTGTGCAGGTAAAGCGATTTTCGTCTGCATCAGCTCTCTAAAACAGTGAGGTATTTGGTGGCGCGTTGTCGTCTAAAAAAAGGCCAACTCTTTATTTTGACCCCGCGTTTCTTTTCAACCGCAGAACGCAGCTCCTTTTGGGTTCCTGGAAACGCGACCCCATTTATCGTAGTATTTCTAGCAATAAATTTTATAAGGAGGAGACCTTTGGTATCCTTCAAACTGATGATCATCAATTTTTTGGCAGATTTTTGCACTTTTCCTTTTATGTGTGATGGAAATCCCCCGTGCTTCCAATGCATGAATTATTGTGTGGTCGTCGGGTCATAATAGTAAACCCAAGTATCATATTCAACTACTAAAATATGATACAGGTTCCAGTTTTCATTTAAAAGCTCAAAATTTGCATTGCAAAAGCAACTCGATCTTGTTTTTGAGATGCCAAAAGCAATTTTGATACCCAACAGAAGGAATCCATTTTCATACCTAAGTCTTCAGTTAACATGGAACAAATTATTGGTTTTGGAACACCCATCTCATCTGCTAAATAATACAGTTTCAATCGTGGATCTCTAATAATTGGGTCTTTAAGTTTCTGGAGGTTTTCTGCGGTGGAAACCGATTTTGGGTATCCTGGCGACTTTTTTGTTTGGGACATCTTCTCGCCTTTATTTGAACTTATCGACCCAATTGTATTTGTGCTTTGTGTTGAGCAGTTTCCATCGTAAACTTTAAGCATTCGATCATAAATCTGCGACACATATTGCCCCTCCAGCAATAAAATTTAAATCACACTACGATGTTTAATTTGCAAATGTGACATTTTTTCCGTCGAGGTAAAGTTTGCTGATTTATTGCTAGTGTTAATGTTAACCTAAAGGGCTGAAAAAAATCACAGCATCCTAGATGTATCTAAAGTTTGTTATTTCATCAAAATTTTGGTCAGAAACAGTGCGGAACATACCTTTTGAAAATCAATAATAAAACACCTACGTATGTAGACAGACTTCTGAAAATCATTGTATCTCTACACATAATGCTATTTAGGTATCATTTCTTAATTGGAGGTAATTTATCTTGATTACATGTACCTTATCGTTTTACAAACACACACCAGACATTTATCACAAATTTTTATTTAAAAAATCAACAATCATGCGTCTATTCGTTTCACAGCTACGCACTTCTTGGACCGAGTGGATGTGGGTAACGAAAAAATTTTGTTTAGATTTTAAATGATTCCCTATCAATTATTAAGTAGCTTCAGCTACTTTATGTGAAGACTTTGTCTGTCTGTCTGTCTGTCTGTCTGTCTGTCTGTCTGTCAGCAGGATATCAGGAGAACGGATCGAGATAATCGAAATCGGTTTTCGCCATCATACATAGGACCCCAGGGGGAGGATCCTATCAACTTTTGGGGGCAACCGGACCACACCCCCTTTGGCGACAGGGGGTGTGGTCGGGGCAAAATGAGATTTTTAGTGCAATTTAATCTATAGGTGAAATAGAGTAAAATTTTGTGTTCCGGAGTTGTGCCACACCCCCTCGGCGCCAGGGGGTGTGGTTGGGGCAAAATGAGATTTTTAGTGTAATTTAATCTATGGGTAAAATTAGGTGAAATTGAGTGAAATTAAGTGTTTCCCCGATTTTGCCGCACCCCTTCGGCGCCAGCGGGTGTGGTTGGGGCAAAATGAGATTTTTAGTGCAATTTAATCTATAGGTGAAATAGAGTAAAATTATGTGTTCCGGAGTTGTGCCACACCCCCTAGGCGCCAGGGGTGTGGTTGGGGCAAAATGAGATTTTTATAAAAAATTAATCTATAGATGAAATAGAGTGAAATTAAGTGTTCCCGAGTTGTTCCACACCCCCTCGTCGCCAGGGGGTATGGTCGGGGCAAAATGAGATTTTTACAAAAAATTAATCTATAGGTGAAATAGAGTGAAATTAAGTGTTCCCGAGTTGTGGTGGGACCGTTTGGGGTGAAGTACGTCTGAAGCTACTTCCGTATGCGCGTTTGCGACGGTTTATTACGAACTTGACACAAAAATAATATTCAAATTCACCTAATTAGGAAAACCACCCTACTTTCCTGTATCGTGGGGATTCAGCAGTTAAATGAAGGGCAAATTGAGCTGTTCGGAAAAAATGTGTCAACATTTCGAAATGGGATGCCTGGAGGTCTAATCGGCTATATGCCGCAGGTACGTGCATAAGTTACTTTAGGGAACAACTGACATCACGCGTATTTAATAACGGACATATATTTTCATAACAAGTTTTGCAATGTAATGTGAAACCCAGTACCTTTATTTATAACAGGAAACATCTCTCTACGAAACCTTTACAATTTTGGAAACCTTCATCTACTACGGAAGACTTTATTGTATACCGTTAGATAAAATTTTTAATAGAAGCTGAGTGTAAGAAGCACGTATACACATTATTTTAGCTCTTGTTTAAAATATAATTTCTATTGTTGAAACATTGAGTAGGAAGCAGTGAAATATATCAAACTGTGCACGAAGTCATTTTCAGTCTATTAGTGAGTAAGAAATCTTTGGTGGAATCGGGACGGGGGTGCAAATTCGTGTCAAAACTTTTCGGAAATTCTGGAAGGGAAGGCGGAGGAATACCTTTGTTCTCTTTCCAGTTGGGACCATACCTCGCTATGTTATAAACATACAGATAAGTTCAATTCATTGAGTATATGTCCTGCCGAAGTTGACAAACCACTGTATCCTGTCATACTCCAAAGATACTGTCACCACACTTTACTTTGATTCAGGATGCCTACTCAGCACAGCCCAAGGAAAGACGAATCACATGACACCTCCGCAATGACAAATAGTTCGGCGGAATTGGCGACGAATTTCACCAACCTAAGCAACATCATATCAAATAAATTTGAAGACCTCTCGAAAGAACTGTTAAACAAAGTGGGCTCTATAGTGGATAGGGTAACAATTTTGGAGAAACGGCAGGACAGGATTGAAAAGAAAATCGATGAAATAGCGGCAGATGTGCACTCTGAAATAGCTCAAGTTCGGGAAGAAATGCAAGAACAGACCCGCCGACTACATAAAGTTCTCAACATCGTCATGATGGGTGTACAGGAAACAAAGGAGGGCATCGCCGCAGCGACAAAGGTGATGGGAATCATTCTGCCCGCGTGGACGGAAGCGTTACCAAATATCCGAATCGGGGATCCAAATCGGAAAAGCCCACACCCGCGTCCACTACGGGTCACCCTACGCAACGCTCAGGAGAAGTCGGAGGCGCTGCGTAATTGCTGGAAGTTAAAGGACCACCAAGATCTAAAAACAATTGCCGTGCGTCGTGATCTCACGCGAAAACAACAGGAGGAGTGGAAGGACAACTACTCAAGAGAGAGGACGTCAAAAATGACAACCAGACAGGATTCAAAGAGGAAGAGGAACGATAATGCGACGTCTTCTGAATCACAGACACGAGCGGCGAAACAGCATAAAGCTGGCGATAACTCGATTATGGATGAGGATTGACTACAGGGCACTACTCAACCTACAATACCTAAGGATAAGACGACAGGACCATGACGGATTGGACATTTAAACGTTAACTCATTAAGATATAAAATTTTTAATTTATCGGATTATTTGCATGCTAATAACATTGATATATTCTGCATGACTGAAACGAAACTTGATCAGAATGTACAAATTATCTCTATTCCAGGTTATGCAATTATAAGATTGGACAGAACAGGAGGGGGAGGTGGATTGGCCGTGCTATATAGGAATCATCATAAATGCAAGATAATGCAATTAGCGGAGATGGACATCGACAATTCAAAAATAGAAATATTGACTCAGAAATTTCAAAGTGGTAATGAAAAATCTTTTATGGTTTCATGTCTTTATCGCCCCAAGTTTATATTGACAAATACTGACATAGACAAATTTGAAAGTATTTTTCATGCACACCTTAAGACAGGTTTATATTTTTACATATGTGGTGACTATAATATACATCTTGAGGACACACACAAATCTCACATCAAAAAATTTAATAATGTACTGAACAGACTGGGACTGCTGGAACTGATACAAAACCCCACGAGAGGAAAGGCGAGACTCGACCTTATCATATCGAATGACGATATGAATATTAATGGCGCCTGTGTGAATCAACCATTTATATCTGATCACGAATCCACAATAATAGACAGGCTAGTAACTCGGGTACCAAAGAAAAAAAGAGTTATTCAGTTTAGGTCGTATCGTAAAATGGATACTAGGAGGCTGGCGGAGAGAGTAGTCGAAATGGACTTGGAGGGGTTACACTTATTAACAATTGATGATGCTTGTAAGACTTTTATACACAAACACATACAGCTTTTTGACGAATACGCACCTATTTTGACCAAATCTATTAGGGAATCGTCGACACCTCGACACATGTCGGATGATACCAAATTACTTACTATAAACAGAAATAAGTTGTACGAACAACATAAAAAGTTTCCCACACATGTGACCAAGACTCGACTAAAGATATTGAATGCACATATAAATAAAATGTTTAAGCTTGACTGTAGGCGTAAAATTGATGCGGACATTAGCAAGAATGGGGTATGGAAAACCAAAAAACAACTATTCATGAGGAATCAAACTAATAATCAGCTGGATATTGATATACTCAATGACTTTTATGCAGGTGTACCGAATGAGCATTTTGATTGTGTGCACCCCACTAAACCATCTGGACTTGATTATGACGCACAATTTAAATTTACAAAAATAACCACTTATGACTTAATACGTGTATACAACAAACTGAGAACCAGAACTAGGACGGCTTATGACAGCACAGGTCTTGCACCAATTATGCTTAATTATACGATCAGGTGTCCAAACATAAGCAATGCTCTTACCAAACTTGTGAATGGGTCATTAATGCAAGAGGAATTTAAGAATTGTGTGAAAACTGGGTCTATTACACCATTGCCAAAAATTGATTCACCAACTGAACCAGCGCATTATCGTCCTGTAGCTGTGCAACCCTTCTTGTCTCTAGTTATTGAAAAAGTGGCCCATTCACAGATTGTTAAGCACTTCGATGACAACAATATGTTATATAGAGGGCAGTTTGGCTTCAGGAACAGGCACTCATGCGAAACAGCAATGGTGGCTGTTACTGAATCCATATAGGAACAGCTAAACAAAGGTAATATTTGTATATTAGCAGCATTAGACCTGTCGCGTGCATTTGACGTCATTGTGAGCGAAATACTTTTTGAAAAGCTCAGTTGGTATGGTGTGAATCCTAAATGGTTTAGATCTTATCTTAGTTATAGGGCGCAAGTTGTCAAAGGTCCAGACGGGAAAATCTCCGGAGTGCGTTACACGGTGCGTGGATGCCCCCAGGGTAGTGTTTTAGGCAGTTTTGTATTTTGTGTCTACATTAACGATCTTCCATTAGTGGTGCAACACTGTCTCATGGTGTTATTTGCGGATGACAGTCAGCTTTGCATTAGTGGTCACCCTAGTAAGATAAATGAGATTATTGACAAATTGACGACTGATTTGACTGCTGTGGTTGACTAGATGGAACGTAACGGCATGAAACTAAATTTGGGAAAGAGTCAATTAATTGCATTTGGTAGTGCCTCAAATCTGAGTAAAGTAGGTCAGATTAGCATTGACATTGGTGGGGTCAAAATAGTAAGCAAAGACCAGATAAAAAGTCTTGGGCTCATTTTGGACTCAAAGATGTCTTGGTATAACCACATAAATTCTTTATCCCGAAAATTCCATTATGTAGCACGGTCAATATATCCTCTGAAACCTCTAATGACGCAGAGGAACATCATATTGGTTTTTAATGCATGCTTAATTTCACTTTTAAACTACATGATTGAAATATGGGGGTCCTCTTGTGCAAAAAATTTGAAAATAATTGAAAAAGGTGTGCGACATGTCGCAAGATTCATTTTAGGTCGCAAAAGCTATGAACCAATTTGTGTCATAATGCAGAACGAACTGAAATGGATGTTACCTAAACAAAACTATTATTATGAATCTTTTTATGAAAAGAAAACACTTTCAACCGATGTTGGATGTTTTTAATCACCAGTTGTGACCGGTTTCGCAATTTTTTAATGCTTCATCAGACCTTTTACAATCAAAAAATATTACAAAATTGTTAAAATTAAAATTAAAATTAGAATAAAATTAGAATAAAATTAGATGCTGCCATCAAGAATAGAAATAAATCATAATATATAAATTTATATTACCTTTGGTGAGACTGAGTCTTTCATTTGTGTGTGCAATTGAATAAATGTAATGTATTTCTTTCGTGGTTTGTACAAGACTGAGATAATAAGTTACCTTTTCATACAATACTGTGCTAAGGAATTTATTTGCTTAAAAGAGATTACAAAGTTTAGGCTATCAATAATATCACGATACTGTTTATTTGTGCTCATATCTTTCTCTGTCTCAATATACCTTATGAGAGTATGTTTAAACTGATACATATTATTGTAAAATGGCATAGCTATAAATGTTTTCTGTGTATCTCTGTTTTCTTTGATTTTACAGTTTTGGTATTTACATATTATTTCTGGGTAGTAATTCTGAAGAGAATGTAACACAAGTTTGGCTTTTGGTTGTAAAACTTCATGCCTGTTTTTTATTCTGACCTTTTCTATACATTCGTTTATCACTGTAATGGGATATCCTCTGCTTAAAAACTTTTTACATAATACCGTAAATTCTTTTTCACAGTCCTCTTTTCTAGAACATTTTCTTAATGCGTAAAGCTTGACTGAATGGAATAGATTCCTTTAATGATTTTGGATGATTAGACTCGTAATTTAAAAAAATGTTTTTTATATTCACTACAGAATAACGAAATTCCATTTTTTGAAGGTTTTATTAAAAAATGCATGACTTTTTATAGATATCCAACCAGATCCGCTCTTAATTTGAGAGGTAACTTCTGTCCAAAAAACAAAATTAGCGAGAGAAGTATACATTTTCACCCTGTTAGTGCATGGAATAATCTTCCGGTAGACATAAGAAACTGCAAGGATAAGAAGACTTTCAGAGCTAAATTAAAGAATCACATTTTAAAGGCATGAATACATTCCAATTATACTCATTGTACACAATAACGAAATCTTTATATGACACTTAATTGTAATAGGTATAATCATATTCTTCAATTTATTATATTTTATGACCTGTTTTTTAACAAATGTATGTACTGTAAACTACGAATATGTCAGGCATAACGAGCTTTGTAAAGAAGCGAGCTTGATTAATAAATAATAATAATAATAAAATATTATGCAACGTTGCAAATTTAAAAATTGTCATGAATTTACCAAATTTGAACAGCAATGTGAATAACATCAGGTATGCATAAACAATTAAATAGTCCCCTACAGAGTGCTAGCTATAATACAGATTTCTTGCTTATAAATCTGTATTAAAGCTAGAATCAATGCAATAAAGCTATTAAAGCTAGCATTAACTAAATTTAATAATTAAGTGGTGGGGAGAGGCGTCGTGTCTCCCTCGGCGTAGCTTTGCTGCATGACCCTCAAATTCTTATATTGGACGAGCCCACGGTCGCGATTGACCCAGTTTTAAGACAACGGTAAAGTTGACAACTGTTGCACTTTAATATTTACAAGTTATGTATGTACATATTTTTGAATATAATTGCAGAATCTGGGATTACTTGGAAGATCTTGTTAAATCAAGAGGGACAACGGTTTTTCTCACGACGCACTATGTCCAAGAAACAAGGCATTGTGCAAAAGTACGTACTTAAGTTGCGCGACAGATTAATGTACACTCGATGTAAAACTTCCGGTATCAGAGGTGACCCTACCGGTCTGATAAATGAGCATTACTGACGGAGTGGTGGGGGATTTCCCTGGTACGACCGACCGGTTACGCACATATGATTTCGATTCGGTATTGTCACTTTTAGCCATAAGTTGAAAATCCGGTGATATGTTTCCTAGAATTGAAAAAACAGGAAATTCAACATAATATCACAATACATATTATAAAAAAACGTACATTCTCGTACACAAATTTTCATTTAAAGGCATACATTTTAAGTAATAGCATACTTCAAATGCAAGTTTTGATATTTATGATATTAATGTCAAACTTTCAGATTGGATACTTACGCGATGGCCACATGTTAGTGCAAGATTCTCCGAAAGCGTTACTAGAAAAATATGGTATAGAATTTTCTACATCAATTTTGGACGTGTTTTGCATCGTTGATAAAAATCCACCTTTGCGTACAAATTTGACACTTATGTATTTAACCATTCCAGGACCAAATTCTAAATTGAATGCTACCACCCTCGACGATGTAATGTTTTACTTTTGTAAAACCCATAAGCAGATAATTACACAGCATTGCATTCCTAAAATGTGCAAAATGAAGAACGACTTGGACAGAAAGGTGCAATTGCTAAAAGTTGGAGTTGTGGAAGCCGACATCTCAAATACAAAACCAATCCAGCCAATTTCACCATCTAAAATTTCCAATCTTAGTGAACACTCGAAGAACTACTATTCTCAAGTAAAGGCACTTACAGTCCGGAATTGGATTGTGTTTACAAGATACCCATTGTAAGTACATAGTTGGTCATCCAAAGAGTACATATTCAATGAATAATTTTTAATGATAATTTATTCAATGAATAATTCTTTCAAGGCTCATGGCCCATAGGGTTAGAAGTTAACTCTCACCATGATTTAACAATATAACAGGTTACATTGTATCAACTACAAATTTCAAACGAACAATTTACGACATAACAGCAATATAACGAGGTGCATTTTATCAATTGCAAATTTCCAACTACTCATGTAAAGGTCGAAGCATTATAACAGAAAATTGATTCATCATGTATGTAAGTTCAAACTTAGTACTAGTCAAAGGCTCTACTTTTGCAGCATAATAATCCAAACATCTTCATAGCAAATAACCTTTTCGAGCCGCCGTACCTGTCGTAAGCTAAAATTCTAAACAATACAACAAAATTCTGTGTGGCACGGTGTTCCAATCTGCTTCAAATCTGATCAGAGTTCTATCTAACGATGTGGCAAAAAACATCATACCAATACAATAGCAGCATCCAAAGGTTAAATTGCTTTCGGTATATTTGTGTCTTCCAATTTTTATCCGATACTACAAAATCGAGAAGGGGTGGATTTATTTAGGTGGGGATGTTTCGTTTCTTGCGGGTTTTTCTCATTTTTTGCACTGCAAAGCAAGAAATGCAAGAAATGCATGGTGCAAGAAATGCAAGAAGTGCAAGAAACACAACGCCATCTAGCGACGCGCCTTCAGACCTATGGAAGTAGTTTTTTGCACTTTGCATTTCTTGCGGGTAAAACTAGCTGCAAGAAAGCAATTTCTTGCGGTTATTTCTTGCAGGTGGTTACTTGCACCCGAAACACTGGGAATTAGAAATGCTGGTGAATTAGAAATGTCCGTCTGGTGGGAACGGGGTGACGAAATAAGAGGAAGTTGGGCATTAATCGGTCTCATCTTATATCTGACTAGGATTGTAACGATTGGATTTTATCATATGTTTGCGTCACTGAAAATATCACTGAAGGATACGGCTATGGTGGGAATTTCTCTGTTGTTGCTTTACCTATATGCAGAGGTGGGCAATATACATGAATATGTATATTGAATATACTTGAGAAATATACTCAAATATTCTTTAAAATATACTATACAATATACAATATACAGCAAAACTCAAATATACAATATACAAATATACGTATATAATATACTGAATTTTATTGGCAGATAATATACATGTATATTCAATATACAAATTTCAATATACTTCGTGGAAACAGAAAAACAAAACAATTATTTTGGTTAATCCATACACAAATTGTTAACTTTCAACAGAACCATCTTTTCAAATAAGGAATCGCTCAAAATACGACGCTTTGGAGATAATATCATTCCAGCGTAGTTAAACATGCGTTCAACTGGAGCAGACGACGGAAGCGTTGTATTATGTTTGACAAATACATTCATCACCGACGGGAATTTGACCAGCATTGAGAGTTCCTCGTTTTCGTCATCTAAATATTGACAGCTTTCGATTCTTATCTTATTCTCGCTAGCCTGTTGCTCTTGAACCATTTTGGGAGAAGTGGGGAAAGAAAAAAACTAGTCATTTTTCCTGTTTTGATTTTGATTCTCCGATTTTATGATGCTACTTGAACTGCTACCGGGTTGGGCTAGTGAGTTGATTTCACCGGCCAGTTCTAGATTTGCCTTAACAAATAGGTCACGGACTTCTGCAGATTTCGCAATTGGAACCCATCGGAGTTTGAAATATGGGTGGCTTACAGCAGCTATAATTGCATGTTTAACATCGTCGTCAGAAATATCCAATTCCAAAAAACCCTTAAAACGAGTCCGGAGTCCCCTCAACAGTCCGTTTACAACAGCTTTGCAATAAAGTAAATCCAACGTTCCTAAGTTGACCAGGTTTGTTTCGACAGTTAGTAGAGTAGGAATTAGCCCGAGCTGCACCCTCAGCGTTTACCAAGTACCGAAATAAAGATACTTCAGTAGTGAAGAAATGCAACGCAGAATGTTGCTGATTCAATGATGATCAAAGGTGCTCATTTGGTAACGAAATTTAGCGTTTTTTCGTTGGCGTTGATTAGCCACCGAAAAATAAGTACCAGACTAGTGCGCGTTAGAAATCAACGGGTTGGTACTTACCAGCAATTATATTTAGGCATTGCAAAAAAAAGTTTACGACAATCATTTTTCGTTGCATATATTTCTATATTTATTTAATTGATTTCAAAATTAATTCAAACATTAGTACAATAATAAGCACCTTATTATAGTAATTACAAACTATTAATGTCTCGAACGATGTGATTCATATGAATTGC